ATTATAATAATTTTTATAATTTTTTTTTTAATAATCGTTATTATTCTAAACTTTTTGACCGGTTGTGTAGTTTTTTTTGGCAATTTATAATACTTGATTTAAAAATTATAATAATTTTTTTTTTAATAATCGTTATTATTCTAAACTTTTTGACCGGTTGTGTAGTTTTTCTTTTTTTTTTTGGCAATTGCTGTTAATGTTTATTTTATTTCAAGCACCGATTTTCTCTAGTTTTAGATTAGACAAAACCACAAAACAAAACAAAAATCAGGGTTCTCATATAGGTAAGCAACTCAATAGGTTTGGTGACAAGCTACTACTGTATGTCGTGGACAAAACAACTGGAGAGTGTAAATCATGTCTAATGAGCTACAGCAGAAATAAGTGCATGCATCATTATCTATGGACATAATAAACAGAACACACAACAGCACGATGAAAAGAAAGCGGCAGCACAGCGCTATGCTAAAGCAGCTAACAGCCCTATTAGCGCCTCAAAACTCCTCACGACACTCACGCTTACCTGAACATTACACTCTTTTCCTTGAAGTGGCTTTACTGTAAGAATCATCTTTACATTTATCAAATTAAACACAAAATAAAGAATAGATAATTATCTTGCTGAACACTCGTGAACTATCAGCCGACGTTACCCACGGACATGACGTCGATTACACTGGATCTGCGCATGCGCGGGGAATGTTGCGCCTCAGCCAGACCAATGACCAGGCTGTGTTTTTTAATAACTTAACCTATCAGATCAAATCAAATAATTATTTTATATAAACAATATAAATATTTTTATAAAGAATACTAACATTTTTATTTTCAATAAAATACAGTTAACTCTGACAACATTTTTAAATATACAGAAAAAGACAAAGAAAGACTCTTGCATATTTGGCGCCTATAAGGTACACCAAAGAGGACAGGAGACCTCCAGTGTGGGGGGATGAAAACAAAAACGTATCAAATAGACGGCAACAGACTGCAGTTTGTTAAAGAGACCATAAAACTCAGATTCTGGATTAGAATTTAATTTTAGAATTTAATAAACAGATCAAGGCCACGACACACATGAATAAAGACGCATGATTACTAAGGAAAATTGTTTTATTGAACTGAATTACAAGACATTATAAATTATAGAGTCAGTGATGTTCATACAAATGTTCATTCAAATTTTTAAACTTTTTTCACTGATTTTTACAGCGAACCTCTGATTTATTTACGGGGACATTAAATCTTTCCAAAAGCATTGTCTGCTGGAAGCTATAGGCTATTAAACACTAAAAATATGTTTGAACCAGTGACTGCAAAAATGATGCACCTTAAATCGAAAAGACACCTCTCCTGAATCTTCAAACTCATTTTAAACACATTGATATGTAATATGCACATAAAACAACATTAATAAGTAATATGCAAAGACATTAATATGTCAAAGTGCTGCAGTTGTGAAGACTAAACCAAGGCAAGAAATCCCACACCCAAGCTTTTAGAAATGTGCTGATATATACTGCAGGCAGATAGTGAATATTCTCCATCAGTCACCCTGACACAGAAACTGAAACAGATCAAAAGTTAGAAGCTTCTCTTCATCCTGTATAAGAAAACATATTGCCGTCTAAACAACACAGTCAGCATATCCTAAAGCAGAGGTGTCCGGTCCTGGTTCAGGAGTGTTTCATTAGTGCTGGAGTTAAACGCTGCAGGATGCTGGTCTGCTAACTGTCCTGCAGAGTTTAGCTCCAATTAAACACACCTGAACCAGCTAATCGAGGTCTTCAGAGTTCCCAGAAACTTCCAGGCAGCGTGTTGGAGCTGAACTCTGCAGGACTGGACACCCCTAAATTACATAATGAAATCAAAGCAAAGGTTTGAAGTTTTGGAGAATAGCTGGAGAGAATGAACTGTTGTTCACATGTCAGGTTCTACGAGAGAGAGAGAAAACGAACAAACATTAGTGTCATCTATAGATCGGAGCTGATTTCATTCAAAAATAATCATTTCATTTCATTGGTATCATGTGCTTTGTGAAGTGAATTGTTGGCTGAAATCCTCAAGATTCAAGAGACATTTAGAAACCAAAATTCAAACAATAAAGAATTTCTATGCATGTAAACTCACTTTTGTAAATTTCATTTGATGCAGACACCAAAATGGGACGTCTTTATATATATATATATATATTATAAGAAAGTATATTAAATGCAAGTAAAATGTCTACTTTAATGTTTCAAATACTTTTGTGAAAATGCAAAAATATATGGGTCAAATAATGATCAATCATAACATAACAGATATATTTATGTAAAAATGAATATACTTATATTATATTTTAAATGATTAAAAACTTCTTGTCACAAATGAGTAAAGCCTAGTGATTTGAAGGATAGTGGCAAAGACTGGTAACGATTTGAGATGACTATTAATTAGTTAATGATTACAATTAATGATGTCATCATTTTGCATATTGTTGGGTCTGTGTGGTTCATAATATTACTATTCCTTTCAAACATTTGGTTTTAAGGACATTTTGTTCACTTTTGTATGATAATTAAAATGTGTTAGGTGACTACTTAACGAGTCCTAAAACTTTAATACAACATGAAAGAGAGGAATTAATCGCCATGATCCAATGGACAGATGTCTAAGAAAGTGAGAAATACTCAAACAGCTCCTAAATAAACCAACATCTCTGACCTTTACCGACAATGAAAATCAAGATAAAGACTTGAGATCTGTTCTCACCCCATGTGTAGGTCTTTGTGTTGCCCATGTGTCGGACTCTGCAGCTGTACTCCTCTCCAGCCTGGGGGGTGAAATCAACATGCCTGGTCAGGTGGAACTGCCAGCCCTGCTCGAAGGCCAGGTCGGTCTGCTGGCTGCCCGGGATCTCCTGCCCGTTCTTCAGGAGCTCAATGGTGATGTCAGGGGGGTGAAAGCCACTGACGTAGCAGATCAGCACGTTTTTCTTCCCATACTCTCCAGGGTTGCGGCTGTACACCTGCACTTTTGGGTCAGCTAGAAACAATACAAATGGAAAAATTGTTGTTCTAAATAATATCTGAATACTGTTCATTCTTATATATTGTATTGCATGTACTGCATTTGGAAATGTTTATTGTCTTTGTCCTTATGTTTTATTCGTCTTATGTATTTATTTATGTATTAATGCATGCACGTGGGTCAAAGATGAAAAGGGGTTTTCAAGCATCAAAACAATAAAAGTTAAATACAGCTTTAATTTTTTGTTCGTACATTAGAATGTGTCCTGTTTAATTTTTTTTTTTTTTTCGGAGGAAAAAAAAGACTAGAATACATTATTACCATGATTTACTGAAGACACCCACTAAAGTGTAATTCAGTGTAACAATAGTTCATATAACGTATATTTAAAACAAGAATCATTAGATGACATTAAAGACTCTATTTAAGGATCACAGTGCAGCCCCCAAAAACAGTATTTTTTTGTCATTTTAAATTTTTACTAATCTTTGTCACTATATATATATATATATATACAGTATATATATATATATACATATATTTTCAATTTTAATAAGTAAATATATTACATATATCTGTTACACTGAATGACGATGGAACATTAGCCTATTTCACCCATACTTTGACATTTTATTTTCACAAAAGAAACCACTTTATT